TCCAGGAGGATAAATCTCGGAGAAAACTTTAGTGGTCGAAAATGTGTAATCTACCCAGTGTCTGTATGACGGTTAGCAGATGGTTCCTGTCAATAACCGGTTCCTCTCTGCCCTGCACATCTGGGCATATGTTGCGATGGGGACAAAGCGGCGTGCAGGGCCGTTTTGCGGCCTTTATTGCTGAGAAGGCCTGTGTTATGTCATCCAGGAGAGTGCCATGCCTGTCACGGTGATTGATGTACACTAAAAATTACACAAAAATAACACAGAGAAGGCGACAGGGTTATGTAGGACGAATTATAGGGCAAACATATTATTTGTCCATAGAAAAGGTTTCAAAATTAACAAGAGGGACGCTTTATTTGGGGATTCTGTAGTCTCTATGCTAAGGATAGTTAGTGACGCAAACCTAAGTAACCGCCTGGGATTGATGATGTAGTATGGAATAACGTTTTGCCGGTAAACTCCCAGACCTTGCCTTTTTTTGCTCGGTTTGCTTATTTTAGTCAGTCAGAGGCGAAAACTATACATCGCATAGGCAAAAAAAGTTTGGCCGAATAGGCAATATTTAATTCACCGGAAACTAGCCAAATTTATGTACTTAAGAACACTAATTTGAGCAACTGGACAGAAAGCAGTTTAGCTTGAAAATAATTCTCACATTTTATAAAGGTGTCCAGATCGATGGAGTCAGTATAGTGTCCAGTTTCATAAAATGAAGAGAATTTGATTTCGTTCATCATCAGTTCAATCTACAATAAAGCAGTAGAGTGAGAAGTCGAAAAGTTATCCAAAGCATACTAGAGATAGTCTGAAAGCTGGCTGTTAAGGTGGTTATACGCAATTAACCACTTGGGAAATATCCACAGACAGGTAGCGTGTCCGAAAAGTTGCCAACTCCTCCAACTTAGTGTCATATACGCTTCGAGGACACAGTAACATAGGCGTGCTGGAAAAACCTTTCCTGACGATTATATTTTAGCCGAGTGTCGCAAACCCAGTGGAGAAAACGCTTTACACAAGCGGAGCAAGATGTCCGACACCAAGCCAAATAAACTAAACTCACAATATAGCTGAGTAGATGACGAAAAGGGGAAACGGCAATGATTTCTTTGGTCAGTATGTGTGTTTGTGTGGAGTGGGGTATGGTGGCACGCGTAGGGGCGGTTTCGGTCGTGCCAGCCACCTACGCCCGATCCTATCTTCGGCCTTTTTGACACCGGGCAAAGCTGGGTGAGGTAATAGAGAGTGCGGTAGATTCTGTACAAGTATACTATCACTTAAAACTAATTCATATGCAAGTCAACGTCCCTACATTACCTCGTTTTAATCGATGGTCAAACTGTCGTTTGTGTGGCGTAATCGACTGACGGGCTGATAGTCAGGATACAATGGCTCGTTCTTAATGTGACCGCTATGGCGCCTCTCCTCCGTGGGGTCCGGTGAGGTAGCTGACGCGGCCTCAGGTCTCCTTGATTTGTTCATGACACCGAATCCGGGTGGGGGAGGGAAGTCTGTTGTAAAGGTGGCGCACCTCTCCTCTCACTATAATTTAATTTATGCAAAATTCATCATCCCTGCACCACCTTGCTGCGGGGCACATGATGGACCTAGTCAAAATTGCAGCCGAGCTCGTGATAGCACCAAGTGGGACTTTAAGCATGCTATGGGCGGGCACCGACGGTGCAGATGTACGGCCACTCGAGGCTCGTGCATGGGCTTAGGCAGACATTGCATGCATTTACATAGACGAAGATACCTTACTGCAGATACATACATCACCGGTAAATATGCACAAAGGTGAACAGCGATTAGGGGCACCTGCAACGCAAGTGCGTAGTGCTAATGTTGGTAGGTATAGTGGCGCAATATACACATCCTCTGAATACAACATATCCTGTGAGTCAACTACTTTTATGATGACAAGTTCAAACGTTAAGGTGAACACATTGATTTTCACAGCGACAAGTCCTTCTTTTTATTATCCATAACAATATCATTTTAATCGGTCAATTTCGACAGACAGGCATCGGGCACAAATGGCCCATTCAAACACCACATCATTTGCCTTAACACGGCATACCAAAATCGTTAAGTCGTCATCTAAATCATCATCATCTTATTCTGGTGAAGATGGGCATACTCGATTACAATGGATGGGGTATTGACAAGTTGGCCGCACTCTGAGTGTACGTATTAGGTAAAACTATAAGACACGTATTTAGTAAACATACATAAGGCAGAGGACGCCACATTGAAGCAAACAAACTCCATCTCCTATACAGCCATTGTATCTTGTTAAGTAAGACAATCTAACCTGTTCATCAGTCGGGAAGAATCCTATTGCACGCATTACGAAAGGAATCTCAGTTATGGGTATCTTCTCGGCTGTTATTCGTGTATCCATAGAAGAAAGACCCTGTTGACGGAGAAGTGCCAAGTAGAAGTAGTCTTTCAGGTCATTTAGTAGTTCTGGTGTCAGCATGTTGTAGAAGGGCACCATTTCGTCCGAATACAGGCCCGACTGTGCAATGAGAACGCTTTAAAAAGAATATATTTAAACAATATAAACCAATTTTATAGCTAGTAACTGGCTGAAATTTGAGCAGTCGGTAAAATTTAGATGAATCAAATTTGGGGGCTGGAACACATAGTAATCAAGACTCTCATGCTGTCTGAAGACGAACTGGGGAAGCAGAGTCGAAAATTCACACATTAAAGTACTCTTTCCCAAAGAACTTCTTTTACCGAATAGTAATCAATGTTAATTTTGAAAGCTAAATAAAATAAAAAAAGGATTTTTTTTCGTTGAAGGATCTCGACTTCAGGATTTTCTCAAGAAGGCCTTATTCGATTAAGTCTGAGTGTTTGGCTTTTGTCTTCCATAAAAACAGAACGGTAGGACTGTCTTTAGAGGTCCTATTTGCATTTGACTCATAACAATAACCTACTTTTACAACTTCAGTAGCCCACCTTTCCCTTTTTTCATTAAATTTTGCTAATAAGGGGTCGAATTTCCATCGACAGGTATCAGCTGCCTGAGCAGCAGGAGGTTATTTTGATGGAATTGATTATATTAAGTTCATTGAAACAACCATAAGTGGCTCTAATTTAATATTCTTTGCGCACTTTCAACAAAATTAAATATTCATTTACACTCTTTAACCAAGAGATAAAGGTTTAACCACCAATTATGTAAGACAGTTGGGCGGGGAGAATAGATATTTAGGCGGCCCTACAAGACAGCTTTGTAAGCAGAACAAATGAACAATGCGTTACAAAGTGTTGTTTTAGTCAATCATTGGATCCACCGTCGGAAATGGAAGCCCTGAAAATTAACCGAAAGTGAGGGTCTTACCGAATGGTTCCCAATAAGAGGTTCAAGTGTGAGCAGTTGAGGTGTGAAGCCAATCGAAAGGCTCTGTATGTTACATTCATAAAGTTTTGGTGCAATCATCTGATCATTCAGATCACGACAAAACCCACAATCGACGGTGGAGTGAGCAAGGGAGACGGTGAGACACGCACAGAGATAAAGAAGAAATAAAAAGCATCGACGTACTCTCGATCAATCTTCCACATGTGGATGGAGTTGTCCGGTCCACCTGTCGTAAACGCGATCCGCCCGTCTCGGCTCACAGCTAATCCGGTAGCATAGCCACTGCCGCGCTCAAAACTGGGATGGGCAATCACATTTACCGTTTTGTAGGGATCTCCGTCTAGGGGGAGAAGTACTAGTCCAAGACGTTCGTTGGTCAAAAAAAGTAGGCAGTGATGATTGTTGTATTTCAAGCAATTGCGAAGTGGAGAGCTTGGCGGTGTGCTTTCGGTTTCCTTCTCAGGAAGTGCAATTATTCTGAAAGGTAATAGGTATAAATAAAATGATGTACAATATAGGTACCACATTATTTTTTGGCAAGGTTTACATTTTCCGTAGTCTGAATAGTCAGTGATCATTAAAGAATCAAATAATTGAGGAAAATAACGTATTCATTGGTAAAATTAGGTGAATATTGGGGTTTTTCTAATCGGTTTTTGGGTTAAATTTTGTGCATTTTAATGTTTAAGTGTCTCCTTATTCAGTTAAATGATAATGCATGAAAGGAAAGCTATAGAATATTAATGATCAACATTTATAAACACAACAAGTAAAAGAATAACAATCATTCTACAATGGCATAATAATAAAAAGAAGCTCAGGCGAAGTAGCCAATCAATGCACAGGACGGTGGCGCATGCTCTGTTAGGCAGTTCATCTAAATAGGGCACGGGAAGAGGAACGCCCCGCCCACTTACTATGGTTGGACCTGCGTTCCATTTCAGGGAGGGTAAACATTTCCATGTCTTAATCCTAATATAACCCTAAACTGTAACCTTAATCTTAACCCTAGCTCTACCCTAAACCTAGACCTTACGGTAAACACAAACACAAACCGAAACCCTAACCCTCAACATAATCCTGACCCTAACCGCAGCCTTATACCTAATCTTAAACGTAACCCTAACTCTCACCTTTATTCTAAACCTAATTTTCTCGAAAGTGG